TGATAATCTACCTTAACCAAAATCAAAGTAGACTATCACTCACCCACACCAGATGGAAAACTCTACAGACTGTCGGTTCACACCCCATCACGAGCCAGCAAAACATCCACGAAACAAAGAAAGGTCTATCACAGCCAAAAAATACACTCCAGACACGCCGCTGGCATATATATATATATATATATATATCGTCAAATAGAACTGCCCGGTAAACCCTAGGCAGAGAGGGAGAAGAGGACAACAAACGAGGGGCTGTGACAAACTGATTCGTCGGAGTTTCACCGACTCATCAGGAGGCTCTCTCTATATATATATCATCCTTGCTCAAGAATTGCAGGATCTCTCTCTCTCTCTCATGCACTCACTCACATGATATCTCTCTCTCAAATAAACTTTCTCTCTCACATACATATGCAAAAAACATGTCCTTCTGCTGTCTGTCTGTCTCTCTCCCTTCCCATCTCTCTACCTCTCTCTCCTACCCCCTCTCTCTCTGTCTCTCTCTCATTCACTCACACACACACACACCTCTTTCTGGCACACACAAGCTCCCCCTTCCCTCTTCTCTCTCTGTCTCACATATACATACACCTGATTCATGTATTAAAAAAAAACTCTTTCCCCCCCCCCCTCTCTCCGCCACAGCATCTTTCTCTCTCATGCACTCACATACACGCCTCTTGCTCACACATGCATGCATCTGCTTCGTGTTAAAAAAAACTCCCTGTTGCGATCTTACCACATTCGTAAAGCAAAATTGTGAGAAAATGCAAGAGTTGCTAAAACTCAAAAGAAGTAGAGAGAGACAAAGAGTGGAACAGAGTGAAAAAAAAAACCAGAAGGGGCGGGGCGGGCGTGGGCGCAGAGCGCGCGTGCTGCGGCCTTGGCCTTGGTGCTTGCGCACGCATGCTGGACACGTGTCACTTTTTCTCGTCTGTTTTAAAAACAAAGGAGAATTATGCATGTTGAGCTAATGTCTTCCCCCTCGCTTCTTCCTTCCCTGATCTTTTTCTCTCGCAGTCCTCTTATAACAAATTGATTACAACAACAACTGAATGAATGGACAGGAATCATGTCCGAGTAATCCTCCTTACTGCCGGCACTCGAAGAGCCCTCCTTTCAGCCATTAGCTCAATGCTCTCTACTTGGTTGCTGGCACTATGGCAGAACATCCAAGCTCATCATATACGTTCAGAGGACAGCGCAATCTCAATGATGCCTCTCTGATCTTTTTCCACCATAGCCATGCTCTCGGTTGAAGTCCCCGACCAACTGGAACCCACACAGGGGGCTTCTCGATGCAGCGCCAAGGAAGGACGTGAAGATAAAGGTCTACCATAGCCAAAGGTGAGTCTCTCATGTCGGTTCTTCTCTCATTCCCTTCTTCGACCTTTTATCCCTTGTCTCACACTTCTCCCTTAGCCTAGCATGGGGCGCTTCACCCTCTACCTTCAAAGCCAAGGCCTACTCCCTCCTACTGCACCTCCTCCATAGCCAGGAAGGTCTTCTTCTCCACCTTCCAGCTCCACCACTCAGCAGGAGCTGCACCTACCTTCACCCTCTGGGCGCAGCAGCAGCATGACTGCTGGGTAAGATACAGATTCACTCATATACCCCCCAATGATATACTCTAGCAACTCGGCCTCACAGCTTCACTTAGGCTGTGGTACTGCTGCTTCTCTGGGGTACTAGGCCTACCGGTATTGCGGGAACATCGTTGTAGCCTGCAAGTATACCTCAGGGGTTGAATCGAACCTACCTGATATCTAGGTTCGGGCCCTGACTACTCGTGACCTTTTGGGAGAGCTATGGGACCCTTCTAGGCTTAGCGGACTACTGATGAGCTTACCCAAGTTGCTGGACCATCCTTGCAGGGTACTACCCAACTTCTACTTGTCTCTTTCCATCCTAGCCTTTCTAGAAGTCAGTGTATTTCCCTATTCCGGTCTTGTTGCTGCGGTTCCCTTAATCCTAATCTACTTCTCCCGGGACCCAGAAAACATCGGGCAAGCACACCGTTCGTACTTCGCAATGTCCGCATAGCAATCATCACACAGGGACTTACACACATCGAAGCACACAGAAAACTCCTACAGAACACACAAATCTCACCAAATCAGACCAGCAAGCAGGAGAAATCTTGACTGATTCTAGGCGGGTCATTGCAACCAGTAGTATTTGAGATCTGTCACATAGCTTAAGGAGGATGCGACCGTGGCTGGGGAGGTGAGGGAGCTGAGTGAGTGAGTGAGTGAGTGAGTGAGTGAGGGAGGGAGGGAGGGAGGGAGGGAGGGAGGGAGGGAGGGAAAACATTCCCCTGACAATCTCTCTCCCACACACATGCACAACACTTGCAAGTGCACACGAGATTCTGGATGTCCATAGAAAATGCAACAGCAAGAGAGAGATATGGAGTCTTATGTACTTCCATGGAGTTAAGTCCCTTACCATAAGCACGTCTTTGGAGACCGTCTTCAAGTGAATTACTTTCTGCTGGCTCTCCTGCATTTCGCCTTCAAAGAGCGCTCTGAAGTACTCGCTCCGAGATGCAAGGACCACCCGATGTGCGGGTATCTGCGCTTCCAGCACACAGACAACAACGCCAAAACTGAATGTGAGCAAAGCTCCAGGTATGTGTTATAACTTATAATGATATATAATCGCTCTCACAGCATCATATATTCATATATTCAATACACCTTATCCACTTTGGATGATTTCTCCAGGTTGGACATCAATACCTTCTCCAGGTTGGGGTTGGGCGCCGTACCTGGTCAGAAAAATGGCCCTGACGCATCCACCATTGCAGCTGCAGACAACGTGGATTCGTGGAAGCAATATATGCTTCCTACGACTGACTACTGCCATGCACAACAACATTGTTGTCGCATACGACTTTTGGCTAGGCTTGACACGCTCCTCTGCTCTCACATCACATCACATCACATGAATGACTGCATGATGATACTGTGCCTTTTCCGGATGCATTTGACTGCAACTAGGGCCACATTCGCTTGCAAAAGCTGCTCTCTCAGGGCTTCCCATCTTCATGTGTTCCGGAACTAACACACTCCTCTGCTCTCACATCACATCACATCACATGAATGACTGCATGATGATACTGAGCCTTTTGCGGACGCATTTCACTGCCACTAGGGCCACATTCACTTGCAAAAGCTGCTCCCTCAGGGCTTCCCATCTTCATGTGTTCAGGAACTAGAGCGCTTTGTGGCGTACAAACACAGCCCTGCACCAGGTGCACCTACATTCCACAACCTCCCTATTTCTAATTACCTCAGACCTGAATAGAGGATGACTCGGTCCCTTGTGTTGTGACCTCAAAAAGATTGATTTGAAGTGGTGTATAACTTTGGCGTGAGGTTTCCAGGCATAAAGGAAGCATCAGATTCATATGGCACGCATGCTATATAACAACATGGGAAACTTGGGTCCCAAAAAGGTTACATAGAAGTTCTAGAACACACCCTCCCCTCCCCTCTCCCCTTGGGACTGAAGAAAACACCCGTACGTACCCCTCAGAATTGACAGAGTTCAAATAGTAAGCAGCACTAAAAGTCCGCCCAGCTCGAACACAAAACCCTCGTCATGGTTCGGAAAGCAAACACGCCTTAGAGCTCGAACAGGCCACACCGCTTGGGCTTGCCGGTTGCCAACTGCTAGCAGGGCCACTTCAAAGTTCGAACACGATGGATGCTCAGCGGGTTCCTGTCTTCCCGCAAACACAGCACACCATCAGTGTGAGTATGAACAACCCCAAACCACGCAGGGCCTCAGCATGCATATGCTGACTGCTAGCGGTTGCAACCTGGCTGGATGTTGGTTCTATCACTGACACGTGGGAGAAGTCAGCCTGCGGAGGGGGAGAGCTGCCCCCCCCTCCCCCCTTCGTGCTATTCAACTCAGTCCTGCACCTGGTCCATGATGCAAGGAATCATGGCGAGCCCCGCCTACCTTCTTCATCCGAATAGAACGCTCGGTAATTATCGCCGTATCTGGGCTGAAAGTTAATACAGCTATAATGACCAGGCGTTCTATTCGGGTGAAGAACGGCAGCGGAGTATGATCCCCCCTGCTGCCAATAAACAAGAAGACTGTGATGATGGAGAACAGAAGGGGAGTAGCCTGATGTCACTGGCAGGATAATTCACAGAAGATGGATCTTTCCACCAGATCAGGGTCGCAGTTCACTGTGCCACACAAGAAGCAACTTGCTCAAGCTGGCACAGCACGAGATCTCACCCTTCCAGGAACTGCAGGTGCTTCCTCTGGAAGCGTGCAAAGTTGTCACGAAGGGTGATCATCTCCTCCTCCAGCTCATGTACACGCTGTTGCAGCGATTCCCTTTCAGCACATGTGCTATATTCACGAGCAGTGTGTCATCCACCTCAGTCTCTAGGTGGGTTGATTCACGCCCTGTGCTGCACAGACAGTCAGCCGCTTCCGGCCTTGTCTTCGCCTAATCATTGACTGCGATTTGCAGTCATCTGTGGGGCTCTGCAAAAGTTTCAATAAATTCCTCAAGAGGCTCGTGGGCGGAGGCCGGAGGGGAAACCAGCATGAGACAAGGTGCGTGAATTGCCCTGCTTAGACACAGAGGACGAACGGGACAAACGGCACACAGCAGCCCGTGCTAATCAGTGCAGATCCTGACGGACATGACCTCCCAAACAATGCACTGATAGGGTCTGAGTTAAAAAAAAAAAAAACAAGACCAATGACCTATACTACCACTTCATTGTCCTGCTAAAGCTGTCCTCAGAACAGAAAATTAAATTGATACAGTCAATGCCACCCAACATCGATGGAATGTACCGTAACAAAGACTCTCACCCCAACATCCCACGCCCAATTGTGCTGATCATTGTGCTCCTTCGCTGTTGACTCCCCCCCACAGTCAGGGTTAGAACCGGAGCGCCCACCTGGGGTAGAGCTGGCATGCGATTGACACCGATACCACAGTGGCACATTGCGCTAATGTGGCATTGCCTTTGGCCAGTGCATTGTGCCGTGTCCCAAACCCTTCCGAAAGGGTAGAGGACAACATATCCCCTTTATACATGCAACCTTGTTCCCCTGAATACAACGCACGGTCATTATAGCTGTATTTAGACTGAAAGATAGCCCAAATACAACTATAATGACCGCACGTTGTATTTGGGGGAAGAAGGTAGCTTTCGCCATGGAATCTGGAGCCGACTGTAAACTCTCGCACCACCTTTCCACAGAGAGCACCTATCAGATGTAAACTTGCGCTTTTCCATTTCCTGCAGATGTGTGTGCCGCCTTCCTTGTGCCTTCCCTGTCACTTGCTGACCCCCTTCGGCCAACCTACATTGTCACCCGTTCCCTTCTCCCCTCTGTGTACCTCGTTCTTCCTAGCTTCTTGCCTTGTCGCCTGATGACGTTTCATCACCAACCATGTCAGCATTCATTATAGCTGTGAGCTGAACAGACCATCACATGCTCCGGCTGGCGTACAAAGCTTACATTGCAGCCCCTCCAAGAAAGCAGGCTCGAGGGATGCTGGCAGGCCCTTGCTCTTTTGCTCTTCGCAATCCATGTCCATAGTTGGCAACACCTGAACGGCAGTTGTTATCACGAGTCTTATTTGCCGGGTTTAAAAGATTGCTTCTTATGCTGCCGATGATTCTTTGTCTCCTCATCTGCCTTACCGCAGTAGCATGCACGTCTACTGTAGCATGCATATGGGCAACAGTGTCTGTGTGATGGCAGGAGGTCCATACCTCCACTTCCCTCTTTGAAATTCCTTCCTCCAGATGTGACATCACTGGCGCTGTATGGGCAATGCCAGGGGACGGTTCAGTTGGTGTTCCATCTTCGGAGTCCATGATGGCGGTGCTCTCCCCTGCCTTCAGGAGGACCTGCATGCTCTCCAGCGGTCCTCGATTGCCATCGGCTGTCAATGGTGAAGGATCTCTTCCTTCGATGCAACGGCCCTCCACTGGCACATCATCTGCAGCGCGCCCTACCACCATGCAAGTCCCTGCACCTCTGTCGTCAACTACAGACCAGGAATCCAGACAAGGTGGTGGGAATGGGAGCTCCCAAGGGCGGGGCTCTGTGTCACGCCCGGCCAGGGACGGCTCAGCACGTGCGTCTTCCATAGACACGAACGGTTCGGCAGCTGCACAGCAGGGTGGTGTGCCACCTCCTTTCCTCTCATGTTCACCCCTCTCTCTATCACTCTGTGTGGCACACTATGGTGCACACACGTTCATACGTGTGCTCCACACACACACACACACACACACACACACGCACGCGCGCACACACACACAAAGCAAGAGAGAGAGAGAGAGAGAGAGAGAGAGAGAGAGAGAGAGAGAGAGAGAGAGAGAGAGAGAGAGAGAGAGAGAGA